ATGCATTGAGCTGCCTCCCACTGGCAAATACATCACCACTGGTACTGCTGCTGGAAGACTCCATAATGGTTTTAAATTTTCTGAACACACTTCCAGTCACAGCTGACAATGTCAGACTTTGAACACAGGAAGATCTGATCCTGGCAAAACTGAAACAACTGCTGGTGATGGGAGAAACCAAAGGGCTATCGCAACCAGATCAGATACCTTTTTGGTTCCAGAAATATCAGATCACAGTAGAGGATGGCATATTATTACGGAGAGCAGGAGTGATTGTCCCGAGCAAACGTTGACACCAGACACCGGCTGAGCTCCACCGGCGTCATCGAGGGGTTTCCAAACTGAAGATGTTGGTGAGAAGTTACATGTGGTGGCCAGGATTGGATACAGATATAGCTAGAGTGCCAACAAGGAAAAAAATTACTGCCAGCAGCTCCCCCATTTTTGTGGGAATGGCTGGGTAAACCCTAAGTTTGATTACATATTGGCTATACAGGTGCTTTCATGGGCTCAATGGCCTTAACCATTGTGAACACCCATTGGTTGGACATGTATAGAGTTCAATCATCAAACAGTGGGACAACGATAGAAAAACTGCACGTATCTCTTACCAGGTTGTTGCTGCAGCTCATACCACTGCATCCAATCACCGGGAGGCTGCCGCCATTCCACCAATGGCCCTCTATCACTGCCACGCTGTTGTTGGTGCCATCGCCTTTACCATCGAATGGCTGTCATATGAAGAGCAGTTCAATAGCTAGAGTTTGTACTTGCTCAGGAAGTTTAGAAGAATGAGGGGGGAATCTGATTGAGGTGTATATAAAATGCTAAAGGGGATTAATAAAATGGATGTTGAACCCCCTTGTGGGACAGTCTAGAACAAAAGGTCATAGATAAAGAGTGAGAGGAGGTAAGTTCAAAACTGAGATGAGGAGAAACTATTTCTGAAAGACGGTTGTGAATCTGTGGTACTCACTGGCCCAGAGTACAATGGAGGCAGAATCAATCAACAGATTCAAGATAGGTTCCTATGTTTGGATCACTTCAGAAGCCCCCACATTTTGCAGCAGCAACACAACACTTCTCTCACCATTTTGTGTACATTAATTAGATAAATGTAATTCATTGATTCAATAATTCACTATTACTAAGCACATTTTTACTGTATCAATTAAATGCTGACACCACTTACAACTGGGCAATAATAATTCCTTAATTAAGCAGATCTTAGTGATCTAGATTAAAGTTTGAGTGTGTTTTTTTTAATTTCTCGGCCTTCCATGCCTCAGGTGTCTTTCACCAAGCTGTTTACACTGTCCCATATCTAAGCACTTACCAGCTAATCAGCTGATCAGACTCCCATGATGTGTCTCTTGTTTTTCACTCTTTTCATTAAACCAAAGACTTTAGTTTCCAACAGCTGAAGTGAGTTAGGAAATAGGTTAGAAAATGCAAATATACTTCCTTCCCCAACTTACCAAACTCCAAAAGCAACCAAATTCCCAGGATTTCTACTTCATGCCAGCTGTTCGTTGCGGTCATTCAAATGAAGCAGCATCATGAAGCTATTCCTGCAGCCTCTAAAGACATATCTGGGCAATTTTCCACATTGTCGGGTAGATGCCAGTGTTGTAACTACACTGGAAGAGCTTGGCTAGGGGAGCTGCAAATTCTGGAGCACAAGTTTTCAGTACTATTGCCAGAATGCTGTCAGGGTCCATAGCCTTTGTACTATCCATTACCTCCAATCAATTCTTGATATCATGCGGAGTGAATCAAATTGGCTTAAGACTGATATCTGTGATGCTAGGAATCACTGGAGGAAGCCAAAATGGATCAACCACTTGTCACCTCTGGCTGAAGATTATTACAAATGTTTCTGTTGTAGAAATTTTTATTTCTACTTAACTAATAAAGAGACTTGACTCCAGCTCCCGTTTGAAGCAGTTTATTTTCTTGCTTGGTACCAAGGAAAGTGAGTGTCGATCTCCACCGGCACCCGACTCTTCTAATACAGAGTATAACAATCTCCTTTATACCATTAACTTCAGAGCAGGGTGTTCCCGTGACATCTTGTGTTTGTCAATTCATTCCTTGTAAGTTTAAAGAAAACAGACGCTGCTCGAGGTAACAGGAATGCTGTCTTACAGATACCTTAATAATTACTTCTTCAAATGACCTTCGGCATGCAGCTAGCATAGGGAGTGATATACAGTTTGATTGAAGCTCTAGCTTATCAGTAACTAGGCTCCACAGGGATACAAGGGACATCTCTAATTCAGCCTAAAACCTTGGTATAGTGACAATATATCAAAAGATCCTTCTCTAACTCTAGCTAAGATAACATGAACATAGTGATAACACAGTCTGAGTAACTACCTCCCGACTTCTGCTAAGCTCATTAAAATCCCCCATGCTAACTAATTAAAATTCTTTCTCTATGCTATCAGTTTCTCCCAAGGCTGCCTTTTCTGTCTTGGCCTAAATTCCCATCTACCCTTGCGATGTAAAATTTTTCTTCCACAGTTCCCTCCTTGTTGATCTTTTCAGATCAACACTTAAAATATTACATCTCTCTCTTGGTGAAAAGGAGGCTCATATCCCTCTGGGTAAGGACGCATTTTTAAACATTCCTCCTCATCAAAACTCTCGATCACTGTTCTAGGGTACATTGGCACCATAGGTCGGTGTCCTCCTATCGGGGGTAACAGGGTGCAAATAAATCTAGCAGCTACTACGCAAATAACCACCATGATAAATATTACACTATAATGTGTCAGAGTTCCCTACCAGTTACCGAACATCCACCAACCTCAGGGGAATTATAATTGTGAAACTGTTCTCTTATCTTCTTAATTTTCTCGGCCGACTTTCTAATGTGATCAGCCAGGTTGGTAATGTTTTCTGATTCGTCAGGAATATAAATGGAGCACTCTTGTCCTATAATGGCACAGCTACTCCCCTTTTCAATGCCATCCTATTCTGCAGTGCCACAGTCCTAACCGCCACTAATTCTACTGTAACTGCAGATAGATCTTGCTGTGTGTCCCTGAAACCTTCTGCTGTTTCATTTGCTAATTTCTCTAATGCAGAGGCCATATTAATTAACTCCCTGGCTGCTTTTCCAGTTCCGTAAATGGGAAAATCTATCATCCCAAACCCCTCTGCTTCAGTTATAGCTCTCCTTCGTACATTAGCGCCGGAACTGGCTATGCGGTGAACCCCGGGATGTTGAGTTAGAGACTCAAAGTGTCAGATCTGGGGTACAACATATGCTAGATAACAACAGCATGTCCATCGCATCGGGAGCCAAGGGTAGGCCTTTACCCCGCATACCCAATATGTTCCATTCAAGGCACGCAGCGGTGTATGGTTCAGGGTGTTGTTAAACTCGCAGCGGCTGTAGCCCATAAAGGTAGCGTTGGGGTGGTCTGGCTGACATATGCACTCGCTGCCTATTTCAGCCCTCGTTACGGTCAGGCTGGAGGGGGGCTAGATGTTTTGACATATCTACGTATGTACCAGCCATCAAAGGTGAGTTCTTGTGATCTGTTCACACAAGGAGGTAACAAAGATATCTTGCTGCCTTTGGGTGGGTTTCCTATCCAGCAATCCCCGGTTCTGATGCCTCCCTCCTTTCTTGTATGATTTTTAAAACGTCTCCAGGCGTACATGTCACTATGGCTAAAAGGGATTGACCTTAAGGGGATGCCTCCTTCCCCGCCATGGTGAGGGACGATGGTGCATACACAGCAAGCAGAGGCACTACTTCTATCAGCATACTCATGAGACATACACAGAAACGTGTTTATCGCCTTTCCTCTATGCAGTCCGAAAACATATATCAGTCCAATTGCCACAATCAGGATTTTACTTCTTTGCATGTTATGTCCTTTCGTTCTCGGTGATGTTTTCTTTTCTTTTCGGGAGGACCTTATTCTCCTTTCTCGTCGTAGTGCAACTTGCACCTAGTGGCATGGATCCAGTCGGGTTTCTCCTTCACTTTAACCACCGTGCGGGTCGTTAGCAGCACCAGGGGGAGAAAGAATCTTTATTCATCGATTTCACGTATATCCTATCACCCGGCTTAAACGGATGCATATTACCTTCCTTTAGCAGTGCTCTTGTCGGACTCTTTCATGTAACTTCCCTGCCTCCTGACACAGCGTCTGCGCATACTTTAATGTTTTCTCATCATTTCATATTAAAACTACCCTTTCTGGGGTCATGGGGGGCCTAGTTCCTGTTGTCATAGGTCGTCCCATTAAAATCTCATGAGGGGTGAGGCCCGTTTTTCTATTCTTCTGATTTTGCATAGTGCACAGTACTAAGGGTAGGGCTTCTGGCCACTTGAGGCCATTTTGTTGGCAGACCTTTGTTAAGGCTGTTTTTGTTTCTCCATTTATGGTTTCCACTATACCCGAGAACTGGGGCTGGTAGGGGATGTGCAATTTTCACTGAAATCCACAGGCTTCCTTTAACCCTTGTACAAGTTTGTTGGTGAAATGGGCCCCTCTGTCACTATTTATTCCCACTGGAATACTGAACCTAGGCATGATTTCTTTCATTAATATATTTATCACAGTTCTAGCATCATCCCTCCTCATTGGATAGGCCTCCACCCATCTGGAGAACATGTCAACTATTACTAACATATACTTAAACCCCTTCTCAGCAGGCATGTGCACAAAGTCAATTTGCAAATTTTCAAAAGGCAATTCTGTTTGGGGTAAATGGTCAAACGTAGCGGCTGTCCTTCCTCTATTATTCTGCTGGCATACCAAGCAAGTCTGTGCTACTTTCTCAATGGCTACTGTTATCCCGGGGACATACCATTGTTGGGTGATAACATGCTGCATCCCTCCTTCGCCCATGTGAGCCTGGCCATGGGCCAGGCGAGCTAGGGGCAAAAATAGCCTACGGGGCACACCTAGCGACCGTCCGGGTGGCGCCATATGGAACCAGATTGATAGCACCCTGCCTTGTGCCAGGTGCTCTGCTCCTGGCGTGAGGCGTGCCTCTGAGCCTCTTCCAATTGTGGCGCTTCAACACACACGGGGAGCTCCCTACCTCCCGATTCAACCCGTGGGGCCTGCAGCAATGGAGACTGACGAACAGTCACTGCCTTTGCTGTTTTGTCAGCGAACCTATTCCCCTTAGAAACTTCATCCCCTGCAGAGGTATGTGCCTCGCATTTAATAATCGCTACAACCTGTGGCAGCTGTATGGTTTCTAAAAGATTCAGTACCAGGTTGGCAAGCTTAATCGGTTTCCCGATTGCCCAAAGTCATGCACTACCCCGAAGGCATGACGTGAGTGAGTATAAATGTTTACTGTTTTGTTCTTAGCCAGAAGGCTCGGGTGACGACGAACAGTTCGGCAGCTTGTGCCAAGGTTCCTTCGGGCAGGGCGTACGTGTCCATTACTTCATGTGGGGTGACTGTGGCATACCCAGCTAACAGCAAGTTGTCTCTTGGGCAGTACGAGGAACCATCCGTAAACAGGATTAAATCAGGGTTTGTAATGGGCGTACTCAGCAAATCTGGCTGCAGCGTAGCGGTAGCTTCAACAGTAAGTAGGCAATCATGTTTGGTGCCTTCAGGAGTTGGCAAACAAATAAAGGTGGCAGGGTTGATGGCCAGGGTCCTCTCGTATTTATAGTTGGAGTGAGAGAGAAGAATCACCTCATAGCCAGTTCGTCGGGCAGTTGTAAAATGCTGAGTGGAAGCAGAGTTCAGTAACAGCAGAACTGCGTGGGGAACTCTCACCGTACACGGATGATCCAACACAATGGGGATAGATTTTTCCAGCATTACGGCAGTAGCAGCAACCGCCCGTAGACAGGTTGGCATGCCCATCACGACTGCGGGGAGCGTTGTGGAATAATAAGCCACTGGAACCTTCCCTCCCCCATGTTCCTGACACAGGATACCCGTGGCGAATCCTTGCAATTCGTTCACGTATAGTTGGAATGGCTTGCTATATTTCGAGAGGCCTAACGCTGGTGCGCTGATCAGTGCGTGTTTTAACTCCTTGAATGCCTTATCCCTGTCAGCTGCCCATTCAACTGCAGCCGGTTCGTGTTGCAGTGTGGCAGCTCACAACCCAGCGTCTCACTCCCTATACTCAGGGATCCACTGCTGACACTATCCCACCATGCCCAGGAAAGAGAGGATATCCTTTTTTGTCTTAGGGGTCAGAACCTGCTGAATGGCCCTTATACGATCCTCCCCCAGTTTTCTCCACCTTTCCCGATGTGAAACCCTAAATACTGTACGGTCTCCTGGCAAAATTGCATTTTCTTCAGGGACACCCGATGTCCTCGATTGGCTAGATGTGTCAGAAGGGTTAAGGAGTCAGCCAGGCACTGAGGGCCTGTGTTGGAGGCGAGCAGGATATCGTCTGTGATGATAGTGGAATATTCAGACAAGTGGCACTCGTCCAGGTCATTTTTAACAACTGCAGCATAAACTGCTGGGCTTTCAGTATACCCTTGTGGCAGACGTGTCCATGTTTACTGCTGGTTTTTATAAGTAAATGCAAACAGGTACTGGCTGTCTTGTGTAAAGGAATAAAGAAGAATGCTGAACATAGGTGGACTACTGTAAAGGCGCTGGCCTCCGCAAGAATAGACGTCAGTATAATATTGGTATCGGGCACCAGCGGCGCAATGGGGATCACTATCTTGTTAATGGCCCTTAAGTACTGCACAAACCGCCACTCATTTTTTTCGTCCTGATTTCGGAATGGGCAGTGTAGGGGTGTTAAAGGGGCTCTGTGTCTTCACTATTACCCTTGTTGCAGAAGCGAGTCCATCACTGGGGCAATGCCGTCCTCTGCTTCAGCGGTTAAACGGTACTGTTTAACACACGGCAACACCACATTCTTCTGCAGGGTAACCCTGTGCTCCCTGTTTGGATCTTTCCCACATGATTCCTGTGCTGTGCCCATAGATTTACTGGCACCTGTGCTAGGACTGTAGGGAGGAGAAGAGGATCCTCTTTTGGTGGTTGCTGCCTTTCAAAAATGGTTCCCCTGACCTCGGGGTATATAGCAATCCTCCCCTCCCTGTCCTTAAAGAACTCAATGCGTGTTCCTTGTCCCAACACAGGCAGGGCTATAGTGCAGATGATCTTAGTATCGGCTACCATGCATTTTATCATCGTCCCGATATCTCTAGGTTTCGCCGGTGGTTTCACGGCTACTGTCAAGTGGGGCAGTGAGGAATCTCCCATTCCCTTCCTGATCCTCTGCTAGTCCCACGACGATCCCAAATCCTTCGGGACCAAAGTAAATGTACTGTGTTGTTTTCAACTCTTCTTTTCTGTTCTTGATAAGGGTGTATCAATTTATCATAAAGTGGGTCAGCCTGCGAAGTATAGTAGGCTGTGCAGTGGACTCTCTCCTTTTCTCGACTGGTGCTGATTAAAAAGCACAAATTCTGGGCATAGGGACTTGCGAAATTTTGCAGAGCAGTCTGCATTTGCTGGAGTCCTGGGGTATAGGGGTTGTCATCCAGCTGCCAACAGTACAATATAGGCTCTATATCGCCTAATTTTGGCTCATCCATCAATTTCAACATCTGGGGAACCCTAATTTGGGGGAGCTCCATGTATATACCTTCAGTCATACAATGTAATGTGGCTCCCAGTTTACAAAGAGTTTGTTGGCCCAGTAGGGGGAGTGGGGCTGTCTTAGAAATAATAAAAGTATCCGTGACATCTTTCCTTTATTTTCAATTGAGCTGGCAGGGAAAGAGGTTCCGCTCGCGGGACGCCAGCTATCCCCACGGTTTCAATTAGGCTGCCACTTTCTAGGACGTCTGCAGAGGGGGGTAACAGAGGACATGGTGGCACCGGCATTGATCAGACAGTCCAAATATTTATTTCCCAATTTAATAGTAGTCATAGACTCCTCCCTCATCGTTTTGGACAATCTGATGACGGCCGCCTGTACCACCCTCCCCTCGCGGCACCTCTATGCTGATGGATTCGGGTGACTAAAAGAGAAGGGGGGCATCTCCCCTCCCCTCATGTCCTGGCCTCGTCCTGATCTACATTCCCGGCCCAGTGACCCTTCCTTCCACAATGGTTACACGGGTCTTGGGATTTATCTCTAGATCATTTTTGTCTCCTTTTGCCCCCTCCACCTCTATTGGTCTGGGGATATCCTCTTTTTTGATAAAATTGTCCCATCGTGTCGGGCTTGCTCTCCTCCTGGGAAACGAAAAGGCCCTGTCTGTCCATATTCATTAATGAAGTGACCACTTCTCCCATTGTTGATTCTGCCAATTTAGGTTTGCCAATTTGTAAGCCTGTGCCTGGCGGGGTAGCATACAGTTTAGTAAAGTTTGGACTGCCAGTGGTCCATTCTCCAGGGGAATACCTGCATGGTCTTCCCATTTGCTTCTATACCTGGCTATAAAATGTGGGATAGGCTCCCCTTTTTGCTGCAGGCAGCGGGCTACTTCCCCTATATCGCTATGTTTTCGCGTTCCTCTCATTATAGGTTTCTTCCCTCTACTCTCTAGCCAGTGAGACAGAACCTCATTCCTGATTGCAAGTTGGTCGCTGTTTGGTCTCCAATCTCCGTTTTCACCAGGGGGAATAGAGAATCCCCCTTTTAGAGATGACCACGAATTTCCATATGCACATCTCAGTAGCATCCGCACATCCCCGGGGAGGGGAGAGTAGGTTGTACATACTTGTACCAGCCACTTATGAAAAGCATTGGGTCTCTTTAAGGTGTCTGGGGCTTTCGATGCCATGGCTCGGGCTTCTGCTGGAGTCCAGCGTTTTAGTATAGGAACATTTCCTATCATAATACGGGGAGCTTGTAAAACCTCCTCCTCCCCCCTTGTCTTATCCTTAGGTTTTCGGCTAGGCTGTCTTCGGAATTCGCTAGTGCTACTAACTGTCGACTCGGATTCCCCTGTGCTCTGGGATTCCTCGCTTCCACCGACAGCCTCCTGTGCCAAGGGGCCCTGGTAGGGTGGGGTAGGTCTGCAGCAATTAGTATCAATTCATCCACTCCGTCCCCACCAAGGGGAGGGGCGCTAGCCAGGGCAGGAAGGCGGGGATATAATCCCACTACAGGGGGGTTGGTTTCTATTGCTTTTTTAGCCACTGATTCTATTTGGTCTTTTCTCTTGGGGGGTTTTGGTGACTGGTGTCTTCTTGCCACTTCCTTCCACTTTTTAAAACACCCCAACATATAGTCCACATCCCAATTTGGGTCGCTGACCCCTTCTCGCATGACATCCTCCCAAGTTTGAATTAGTTTTAAATTAAAGCATCCCCCATAAGGCCACTCTCCATCCGACCACCCATATAAATCACTACTAAAGGTAACCGCATACCGATCATCTCCAGTTTCTTTAATTACAGTATCGGCTGGGGATCCTGGTGGGACTAAGGGGTACCCAATAGTTGTTGCTGTTTCTTAACTTTCTTTATCTTTTTTAAAGTTTTCTGTCCTACCTTCAACGGTCCGTCATTTTTATCTCCAGCGTTCCTCCTCTTGTCAGCAGGCCCAGCATTACCTGATCGACTGCTTCTGTTCTCCATCTTCTCCTTTCGGCTTTGTCTCCTCTACCTCTTTCCTGTGAAAGTAAAGGTTATACAAAACACTACTACTCTATAACCCCCTTATTTACACTGAGCGCTCACCGGTTTTCCTGCCTTGTCGCGGGCCCTGGAGTCCAGTTATCATTCACCTTAGTGGAGACATCTGGGTCTGATTTCCTTTGGCCCCTAATTCTTCCTAGCCTCACCCTGTTCCTCAGCCCTCAGGCGTCTTGGCAGTTTTCTCGGACTAGGTCACCGGCCGGGCAGTCTTCTTAGACTGTGGGTGGCCTGGAGGAATCCCCTTTTCAGCTAGGATTTGCTCAGCTCGGTCCCCGTTTCAGCTAGGACCGGCTCAGATCTGTCCCCCTCCTTGTTGGGCAGTCTAGGTTTCAGACTCCAGTGCCTCCACTCAGGTGATCCTGTCCGAATCCCGTTCTGTGGGATCCTGCCGACTACGCCAAATTGTTGTAGAAATTTTTATTTCTACTTAACTAATAATGAGACTTGACTCCAGCTCCCTTTTGAAGCAGTTTATTTTCTTACTTGGTACCAAGGAAAGTGAGTGTCGATGTCCACCGGCACCCGACTCTTCTAATACAAGAGTATAACAATCT